CCTACCTACCTACCTATCCACTTTCCTTCCTAACTACCTACCTATACCTAGCAACCTTCTTTCTTAAGTACCCATACCTCTACCTACCTGCCTGCCTGTACCTACCTTCCTACCTACGTACCTACATACCCACGTGCCAACCTACCCAGCTGCCTGCCTACCTACCTGCCTATACCTACCTACTTAGCAACATGGGTATATATAGATATAGACACACATATATATGTAGATATACATTGTGTGTGTTTGTACGTGTGTGTACATGTACATATAAATGACTAAACAACTAGACAGGCAAATAGATATATAAATTGCTCAATACATAAATACAGAAAACATTGCAATAGAAGAACAGAAAAAAAAGGTACGGAGCTCGATTGGCAAAACCCCGCATCACGGCCCCACTGTGGAAACTCACTACATGGTACCTCACCCACAACAACACCAAGAATATAATCACATAGAAAACCACACGTCCGCCATGCCTAAAACCCTTAAGCCCACTTTGGCAACCCACCACCCAGTCCGTCTCCTTGTGACCACGCCAGATCCCACCACAACCCAGCAAATCCCCTGCCACCTCATTACAGACCTCCCCACTCCATAAGCTTAGTATTCACCAGAGATTAAAAAAAAAAACACTACACATGGGCACACTGGCCTAAATAGCAACGGAACTAAAACAATAAATTGAATCTTCAATGGAAACTCAGCTGAACAATTAGATGGAACCAATGTCATGAAATATGTACCCCCAGCACCCAGCATCCAACACCGACTCTCCAGCCACAGTCCCAAGGCCCCAAGCCCCAAACCCTAAACCCAGGCCCTCAGCCCTCCAGCCCTCGGCGATAGGCTGGCAACCTTATTTTCGCCTGACACTGTTGTGCATTGTCATTTTTTCCAAAAAGGTTTCGTGCATATCTATGAACAAAAACATGAAGTCACGGGAGTGGTATCAAGTTTATTTTGGAAAGTTTATATATTTTACCTGCTCCACATCAAACTTTATGCGATAAATCAGGTATAAGAAAGTGTGAACACAAATTTTC